GCGGGGGGCGCGAGCTGCTCGGGGCCCCGCTGGCAGGCCGCTGTGCCGCCGTGCCTGGGGCGGGAGCAGGAGCGGGCCGGCGGGCACGGGGAAGGAAGGCGGTCCAAGGGCGTCGCCATCTTTCCATGGCGCTTGCTTGGCGGAACGCGGGTGGTTTTAGCCAAACGGTGCAACAAACGCTCAGTGTTTATTAAATACAGATGCTAAGTCTACAGGAAGTACATGCGGGACACTTTATCTTAGATTTAGCATTATTTCTTTGCGAATACTCCGTAATAACATCAGTCAGCAACAGTTTATTGGTTGAACGCCGCAGCATTTTAGTCAGATGCCACAATAACCTAAATCTAGCCACTGCAGCTGATAGTTAAAAAGTAAATCTTTCACCGACAAAGTGACTTCATTGTGGTTATCATTTAATCGTTGACAGGTTATTTCAGTTGATCGTTAGTGACTGGCTTCTCTTCCTTCTTGCATTTAATCCCGAAGAAACTGAAAAGTTTCATTAGCATTAGATCAACAATCTCCTCTTCTTCTGAAGCCTAAAATAATGAGAAGTAAGTTACTCAGATGTGCAGACCAGAAGCAGATACAGTCTCTGCTGAAGCCAGGGAAAGTCACAAGAGAAAATCTCTACTTGAGGTGGAATAAGCCCATTTTCACTCAAAGCAGAGCACAACTAACTGCCAAAGCAAAACATCATGCCAGTATTTTTATCAAGACAAAAGTCCCAGATGAGCATGGGTGAGCATGGACGTTACAGAAGAAGTTGTGGCTCTGTCAAAGCCCATGGAAGTCTTGCTACAGGAACCTGGAGTTCACTTGCCAGCTACCATACAGCTAGTGGTATACACAATGAGCTACCCACCATTTCTAGATGAAGTAAATGAGAAAAATTAAATATATCTTCATTTCTATTGACCATATCCTTCGTTTTCTTTTCCCTTGGCTTTACACTGTAGAGGAATTTCGGACAGTACTGCAGTACTAAGCTGGATTTCACACCATGCTATCAATAGCTTGAATGGGTCAGGCACTCACAGTGACATGCTTAAAAGGAGCTGTAATGTCCTCATGGAGTGAATAGCAGTTTTGGCACTGATTTCAATGGAGCTGGGGCACAAGTCTAAGACTTTTTTGCTGGATTTAGTATGTGAACAGAAGGCTACAAATCAGATCTTGTACTAAATCTGAACAGGGACTCGTCTGAACAGGAATGGACAGCGTAAATCTGGAAAATCTGAAGTGTGCTTTATGAGTAAATGTTGTCTTCTTAAGACTTGGACTGAGTTTACATGGGTTTCATCCGATGGTAGAATACCTAAACCATGAGTAAGCACTGCACAATAAATGTTAAAAACAGCAGGAGAGCTTAGATGAACACACCTGGTAGTGCTTCTGCTCCTCACTAAAAGCAACCAGAATCACCGAAATGAACAGATTCAGTACCACAAATGTCATGAAAATTATGCAGGATCCAATTAAGAACGAGCCTAAAATTGGATTGTAGTCCAAGACCTGTAGTATTAATAAGGTAAGACATCATATTTTGATTGTTAAAAAAACCCCAAAAACCCAAAACAACATACAAGCAGTTAAGGCACAATAAGGAGTTTGTTTCTGAAAATCCCTGTGGCTAATAAATTATTCTGTATATATTATACATGTATATACAAATTTTCTCCTTTAGTCACTGTCCTATGTTGGTATGATATAGTACAAAGATGATAGAATGTTTTATATATATGATATATGAATATGGTCAATCCTTGGGGTTTTTTAAGTGTTTGCATTTGATTGTAAGGGTATGAAAGTTTCATGTGAAAGTTGACAAGTCTGGAGACCTGTTTATCCACAGAACAGCTGAAGCTCCATCATGACTCAGCCTTGAAAGTATAGATGAAATCTCTGTATGCTTTTA